CAATCCCCAACATTCTGTGATTCTGTGATTCTGTGAAACGTGGGCGAATTTAGTTTTGGTTTGGAGGCAGTGTGGTGACACTCTTGCCACAAGTGGTTCTGCCTGCCTGCCTTTTGCCACCTACTTTTTGCTTGAATTAGATGGATCTTTGCAGAGGTACCTGATCTAGGTTCAACTTGTTTGTTTACTTGTGGCTCTATTAGTTTTAAGGTGGATCAGTTGCCTGATCAAGATTTGTTAAGAAAGTGCGTGTTGATGGAAGGGAGAGGGTATGAACGAGGAGAGCATAGGGCTTTCCTTTTTAGCAAGCTTAACAGGAAAAAGCAGAATAGCAGCTGCTGGCGTTCTTCACCTGGAGGGGTTGGAAATATCATCAAGGAGCATACCTGCTTAAGGTTTGTGTTCCAGCTGTTCTGGATATGTGCACAAGTTCTGTGTGAAATGTCGGGCATTTCCAGTTGATGATGGTTATTGATGGTAGCAGAGCAGTTTACAGTACTCTGTAAGACTCTGGAGTGGAAGTAGGTTAGGCCACAGTATTCCAGTTTTTCACCACTGCCCTCTCACAAGTCTTCTTTCTTGGGACTCTGTGGTGTCCTAAATTCTTTCAAGTTCACAGGTTTCCATAGTGTGTTTCTCCTTTTCTTCTCTGCTTGTCATTTTCCTTCCTGACAAAACTGTTCAGACCTCACTAGTCTGGTGCTGCCTCTGCAGCCTGAATTTCTTTAAGTACTTCAGTAAACTGGCTTGCTTTACTCTCTGAAGCTGGGCATCTCAAAACTGCTAGTTAGATCAGAATTCTAAAAAAGAATTCTGAGTTACTTCATTTAAACACTAACATAACAAATACTATAAGTGTAGTTACAAAAATACTATAAATTTTTTCCTAGTTTCCTGGGAAAGTGAAGGACAAAGGTTCAGTTTAAAAATGTTACTGTTTTTCTTTTCAGGGAATGCTGAGAATCAAGAGAGTTGTTTTATCAGGTTTTGCACAAAAACCATTTTATATTCTTCATAAAAATTAAGCATACAATAGTAAATACTACATACTAAAATAAATAAAAAAAAGCATTTATAACTTTTCTTCTTTATAACTGTTAATTAGAATAATTTCTGCAAATTCTTCTCTTATCTTTAAAATTTGTAATACAACTGTTTGGTAGTTATCATGACCTGAGTAAGGCTTCATAACTGACAAAAATTAGCCCTGTAAAAATTGACACTATTTTTGTGGTTTAGTCTGAGAGAAATGCAAAATAATAAACAGTACAGGTAGAAGAAAATACGTTTTACTTAAAAATATTCGATACTCGGGAACTTTTTTTCTATCATAAAAAATAAACTTATCACTCTAATATTAGTCAACTGTTCAGAATGCAGCAGTTATTTTGCATATACATGTATGAGTAATATGGCAGTGTATGTTGAAAGGTTGGATTCCTACACAAGTATGTTGCAAACCAAGAAAATGCTGATAGTGATATATCAGGCCACTGTTTAATATCTCAATGGCTAATGCTGTACTGTTTTAATATAGTGTAAGGTCTTTTAAATTGAAGTAATTTATATTTTAAGAATTTTCTACAGATAGCAATGGCATTGGTTAAATGAAATTATCTTTTGCGATGTGGAAGATATTCCACAATTCCAAATTTATTTAAAAAAAACCTACTTAACATTTGCCTGTTTTGATTAGATTGTCTTTATTTCTATAGGTACCTCAACACACAGTTTATTAAGAAGAACAAATTGACTGAAGCTGATCTTCAGTATGGTTACGGCGGGGTGGATATGAATGAACCATTGATGGAAATAGGAGAGGTAGGTATCTCTGAAAGTGGGAGTGAATATAAACTGTATTTGGAAGTGCTACAAGTTCAGCTTTGTCCTTTTAAATTTTGACATTTCTGTGTCACAGAGTCCAAATAGTTAAATATAGTAGACGATGTAAGCACTGAACCCTTTATAAAATGAGATTACATTTTTGATGTAGAAAAATATTATAATAACTGGGGGTGGGGAGCAAATATGAAAACTATTGGAGAACTTCAGTTTAAAGTGTGATAATAGATACCACTTTGCAAAAAATCAGTTTATTCAGTGACACTACTATCCAGAAAATATTTTGAAGAAGCAGTGCTTTTGTTTTTGGAAACCCTTGAAATACTACTTCTAGGCTTCTTTTTCTTGATGTCACAAAGTGTAACAGATTTTTTTGAGATTAGTCTTCTGTGCATCTTATTTTCTAATGCAAGCTGCTTTGTGCTTCTATTATAGCAGCTCAAAGTGATTTTGAAAGAGAAAGTAGACATGTGCACAGAAGTATAATGTATGGAAGGCTTATCTTTAAAGAAGTAATTTGAGACAAGCACAAGAGTGTTGACACAGTCACTAATATAAGTTGGAGAGGCTAAGTAATTCTTAAAAACCTATAAAATGAAAACAATTGTCAGTGGTAGGACTATGTTCTGAGATCCATCTGGTGCATTTCAGCTGTGCAAAAGTGATGTATATATTGTTTCTATCACTTTGTGGCTACTTTTACCATGAAATATAAGAAAGTAAAATGAAAAGACAATTTTACAGTTAAAAAAAATCTTTCAAATTTTTCAAAACGAAATGTTTCAATATGTCTTTAAGAAGATTTTGAAAACACCTTTTCAGTCTAAATCAGAACAAAACCACAATGCTGAATACAGTTGAGTAGAAACTTTTCTTTTGAATGCTTGTCTGTGTATCTTTTTGGTTTGTGTCTGTATGTATACACACTACTAACTGGAGAATTAATTTTTATTAATTTGTCTTTTTCTCTAAAAGGGAAGTGAATGCTTCTTTTTTGATTTGGAAAGCTAGAGAAAATGCTGTTTGTTTTGTTTGGTTTTTTTTTCTCCCCCTTAATATCAGAACATGACCTGTCAGTGATTACTGTTCTAGCTCTTTGACTTCATTGTTTTAAAGTATGAGATCTCATCTGCCTTTAGTTAAGAGTAAGGAGAGATTGTAATGCATGAAAAAGCATCTTCTGTGCTTCTGACCTAGCTGATGAAGACGACACTGCCAGTTGAAATTGCTAATCCTCTGACAGGTTAGGGATGGGTTGAAAAAACCACCAGAAACATGATATACTTTTAAGTCAAGGCAATTCAGGAAATCAAATTCTTCTTTTGTCTACCTGTGCTGTCTGCAAGGGTTGCTAATCAGTGGCATCTGTGAAGGCTTATTAGATCTTGGAAGTGCATTGCTGCATTCTTTGTCATATCTTTAAAATGACATAAATGTTATTCCTTTATTTCCTGAGACTGAGATTTAGCTGAGTCTGTTCCCATGAATGTCAGAGGGAATCCTTAGCTCTGTGTGAATGACTATTAGTTCAGCTGCTTTGGGGGCTGGGAATAGGTCTTGGCTTGTTCTTGGGGCTGGGTGATGCTGATGTATTAATGAGTTCTCCCCCGTGTATTAATGAATTCTCCCCCCAGTTTCAGTGTGGTACTCCATTCTGAGGTATCACCCAAAGGATGGTAGTGCCAACTTCTGTCCATAGCTTTCTGCCCTAGGACATGTTTACCAAAGAAGAACACAGCACACCTGATAGTTCAGCTTTTTTGCGTATTCTGTTTTCCTCACATTTATGGAATCATAATTGGGGTGGAAGAACAATGATGCACACTTTTCTCTAAGCTTCCCAGCAGTTGTTCTTAGGATGGTACATTCCTAGATCATCTTTTGGGCGGGTTATGGGGAGGGTCAAGATTCTTAAACTGTAGCTGGCAGCCTTTGGTTTTTGATGAAGATGTTCAGATGATGATGTCTGGAATTCTACTAATGAGTTTTTCATTATCTCACTCCTCAAAACTTATTCCATTTCCCTTTATCAAATACTGTCTTCATTGTCTGTAATAGTGGAAGGTAAGTTTTGGATCTTGAGGCAGTGAAGTTAATCTCTGTTCATTACTGGTGCAGGATTAGATTTATGGCAGTTACTCCTTTGCCCTAAAAAGGAATGGAAACTTGAGTCCTACCCTCAAGTGGTTTTTAATACATTGAGTTGCAGCACTGTTTTTTGGTGAATTATTTGCCCCCAAAAAAAAGTAAATAATTTATATTTCTTGACCTACAAGGCACTCACCAAATTTATCAGGTCTTTGTTTTGAAAGCATTTTCTCTTTCATTATGGTTCCTGTTTAGGAGTCTAGCTTTTATTCTTTGGATTGCACTAGGGGCTTTGACTAAAGTTTTTATTTCAGTGGTTTATCACTTCAGAATGGAAGGAATTATCATTTATCTCTTTTTAGATGACTGAGATGATCAGTCCTTTATCTACCCAAGAGCAAACATGCTTATTTTATGTATAATTCTCTTCGGTCTCAGTATGAAGTTACAGAAATAATGCCCAGTATTTGTAGAATCAGAACTGTATGCTCTGTGTACTGAAGTTTCTGTCTCAACATCACTCCTGTGTGCTAATGAAAGTTGGAGGGCTTTTCAGTAATCTTAAACAAGTACATGCTTGCTTAGTTCTTCTGAGGTGTGTAACAGTAGGTACATACAAGAGACCAGAGTGCGTATGTGATGTGTATGGGCATGGCTTCAAACAGTTTATCATCCTGATAAGTGTTCCAGACATTCAGTAATTGTTATACTAGGAAAAATACAGGATGAGATCACTTGATGAAAGTAGTCTGCCAGTGCTTGCAAGAGATTATTTTTTTTCTGTCTGTATGTTATGAATGCATGGTGAAGGATACTGCTTTTCTGAGTTGAACTCCTATCATAATTTCAGACTTTATGGGAGCCATGAGCTAGGAGGTAGTTAAGATATGCTTTCTGTTTTTTTCTTCCTTCATAGGGCAACAGATTCTGGAAAATGGAGGACACTGCTATGTTCTGTATTGTCAGTCTAGGTGGAAAAGTAAGATCAGTCCCTCTCTTCAAGGAGAAAAAAGTCTCTTGAACTAATACATCAGGTTGCTGGATTGACCTGTCTGTAGTTTGCTTGACAAGAACATTCCAACAGGCAGCTTGAAGCTCTTTCAGATTGGTAGATCATATGTGAGAGGGACCATGCTAGAGACTGCATTTCAGAGACCACATTGCAGAACAGAGTTAACTTTCACCTCATACTCACAAAGTGTGTCACTCTTTTTCTTTTTTTCCTCTCTCCAGAGCTAGCTTCTATCAGCATTCTCTGCTGGATGAGTTCCTGGTGTCTTAGGGAAACAGTTTATTAATTATTATTATTATTAACTATTCTAGTACTATGCTCCACAAGGCAAGACGATGAAAATAACTCCTGGCATATCTTTGATTTCAAAACATTATCATTTCTTTGCTTTTGATTTATAAGCAAACCTTTACCTCTTCTTTGAACCTGCTTATGATGCATTTGGGTTGGCTTTACCTCCCAGGCTTCCATACCCTGTAATACAGCACAGGTTCTGGATAGCTGTGACAGACAGGTCAAGTCCATTTGTCTGCTCTTGAAAAGGAAGATTTATTTCACAAAGTGGATCAGATCAAGAGCTAAGTACCTACTTTCAGTTAAGACATAACTGATCAATATTAATTTTTACAGCTAAGGATCTGTTGTGTCAAAGCTTTCTTAGTAGCAGTATTCCCTCTGTCCTCACTGATTTTTGGCATTTCATTTTTTTCCCAGTCTACTACTCGCTGGTAGGTGTTTTTAGAGGTCTCAAATGTGTGTGGTTGCACCCCCCATGTGAGGGATCACATTGTTCTTTTTGGAGTTTAAATCTGATTTTGATTTACATGTAAAAACTCCTTTGAACGATTGTAGTTGTTTTTCTAAAAATGTTATATTTTGGGAGCAATTATTTCACCCATAAGAGTTTGAGATATTTGAATCCATTTTACTGATTCCTCTAATGATAAATTAATATCCCTAATATGAAGATGATTTTAATTCCATTTAAATCAAATATTATCTTGCCAGTGACCTTGCCTAAGCTGTATACATATTAGCTTGGAGATGCTCTCTGTGTGTTGGATATAAGGGTTCTGTATCTTTGACTCTAAACTCTGAAAAATTGACCAAGAGATATTCCCTTTTCTCAGCTGAGGCTAATTTTGCTATCATTTTTAGAAATACTGGTGTATGTACACTTTCAAACACTTGAGGCAGAAAAGCATGTTACTTACCTATTACTGTACAAATGGGTTTTTTATATGTAGACTCAAAACTTACCCTCGTAACCAACTTGCTTAGGGTCCTTATATGCGTTTGCATTCTTGATAGAGTAGAACCAAGGAATAAATATGTAGGAAGCATTCAGACTGGGATCCATGCATTCAGACAGTGTCTGCCTAGAAATTCTATGTCTGACAATGCTAGCCTACAAATTTGTGTGATTTTCATCCGAATGCAGTCAGATGTTCTAGAAGAAAAATGATAAAATATTAATATATTGAAAAATTGAGGACGTACTAACAAAAGAATTTTAAAAGGAGAAAGAAGGTATCTAACAATTTAATTTTTAAAATCCTAAAGAGGGAGTTGCATCATCATTGGTTTTGTGATTTATTTTATTTTTTTTTTTATTGATGTAAACTTGTGTTGTATCCTGACAGCTAGCTCTTGATATGTGGAGAAAATTAATGATTGAACCACTGCAGGCCATCCTTATTCGGATGCTCCTTCGAGAAATAAAAAAGTGAGTGCTTGATTATTTTCTGCTTTTACACAATGTGGGGGTATTGCACATTTTTACTTTGGAAAGTCTGGGGACTTTGACCAAATTCTTTTATGGTTTTTTTTGAAGGTAGCTTCTTACTTGATGTTGATGTTCTATCAGCTTTTCTCATTGTAGCTACATATTTGTGGTTTTCATGTGTAGAAAAAGACTTTCAAGAGAAAACAGTTGATTCACTGTAACCTGAGGGTAGTGATCTTTTCTGTTTCAGCAGCGCTTCTTATCAGTGGGATTGGGGAGTTAGGATAGTTCTCCATAGGTTAGGTCCCATAGGATGCCTTTCACCTTTTTCTTCACCTGATGTCTGCTGTGCTGTCAGTAAATGTAAGGACCAGGACTCAACACAAGGATTTGCTGAAACCAAAAAAGCTATGTTGCTTTGCATGGGACCCAAATCAATTCTTGCTTATCTGGCAGGAAAGCTAAACTTCTGGGTTTCTGTTGTTCAGATGAATGACTTCACTTAACATTCTTAGTGCTATACTTGAATGAAGTGGAAATAATTATTTTTTTGCACTTTGAGGGAATTTATTATTTTATTTCTGAATATCTTTGTTACTTTTAAACAAAGATCCTGGTAGTTACAGGACTTGGGGCTTTTAAGTTTTGATTTAAAACCTTTATACTATTTAATTCCTAAAGGATCTTTTTATTTATGAATAAACAGAAATTTTGAAATATACTGCAGACCTTGTGTGTAGTTGTAAGTTCCATCAGTTTCTACACTTTCACTGCCGTTTAGGGTATCTCTGGAGTTGCCTAATAACTGGGATTTTCTTTAAGTGATTGCATGGCTGACTTGAGTGACCAGGCTAGTGTAGGTAAACTGAGAGAGTGAAGTATTTTGGCTGATTGAGGTGCCTTGGACATGCACTTGGTCAGCCAAAAAGCTGTGTTTATAAGACAATAAAAAAAATAGTTTTAATATTATAATTTTATTTTTCCTTTCTGAATTAAATTTTTGACAACTAAGTAACTGATATGTTGTCCCTCTGAGATGGTATTTCTGAAGCCAGGAAGTATTTATTTGCTTTCAGTTGTTGAACCATGGTTCCTTTGTAACCAGTGCTAATACTGCTTTATCCATATGTTTACTGTAACCATTTATTTCTACTAAATTAAGATTCCCTAATTCACGGTGAAGAAAATTCTGTGTTGTTACATTAAGCACAGTGACACTGAAGACTCGTTTTAGTCAATCTGTGTATTTCACTGGCGGGTGGGAATGGAAATCTGTTCAAACCTTTTTCAGCAGACATCTGATGCCTCTTAAAAGTTACGGTATGTATTTACCTTGAGGCTGACTGCAGAACTCACAGGGGTATTTAGATCAAGACTGTCACTGTCTCTATGGGGCGTTAGATCTTCAGGCTGTAACAAGTTGACGTTACTTGTTATTAAACTATTTGAGAAGTTTTAAATAAAACTTGAGTCATTGTCTCTAATGGTTTGGTCTGTATTTTTTTCCCTCTTCCTTATTAAGGATTCTTCTGTGTGATGTCAGAGAATTTAGTTCAACTCTGTTTTTCAAAATATACATCTACCAATTCATGTAAAGTTTGTTCTAGCCACTTTGTGATCTGCATATCATGTAATAAGAGAGAACTCATTGTAATTGTTCTTCCTGATATTGTGAAATGTAGCGCTTACTATGGGTATTCTGAGGATGGCCTTTGCATGTATCTATAGACTTGTTGTCGTTCTTTTGTTATGATGCCAACTGTTAAATGTCTTTTAAAATTATGTTCAGCAATTCAGGGATTAAACAATGTCTTTGAAGAAATGGATATCAAGAAGTTACATCTTTCAGAGGTGCAAGAATATGCATGGGAAGCTTATCTAAAAAATTTAATAAAATTACTAATATATGTATATACTTAGAAACTTCTGTATTAAATGCTTTCATAAGTGTAGTACTTAAATGTGTGTATGGTTCAATTTATTAAAATGTTTTACAAAAACTAAAATTTAATTAGGTGGGACAGTTGAACTTCTTAAAACTAGAAGATTTTGCATAGTATACAACGATAGGTGGAGTTGAAAACCAACATTGTAGTCAACTGGTTACATATAAATGTTTATTACTGTATTGGAAAATGTAGGAGGAGCAGATTTTGCTCTCAGGTTTCGTTTTATCAATGTATTTAACTAGAATCTTAAAAAGGCTTCTGACTAAAATCTTGAGCACATCTACTTTTTAGAAACTATAAACTTGTGCAATACACTGTACATTAAAATTAACAATAAACTTTTTTGACACATGAAAAATAAAGAAATACAGGTAGTGACTTGTGGTTCAGCTGAACAAGATGGCTAAACTGATCTAAACTAAGAGTTTGCTGATGCCAAAAATGAGCAGGCTGTGCTCTCCTACCTTTCTTGTGCTGAAGTTGGTGCTCATCTAGTCCCTTAGTGAATCAACTCAGCTGCTAATATGACAGAAAACCATCTTGCCTAATGTTTTTCCACATTGGCATGATGAGTCAGTTCAGCAAAGAATTAGGTGAGTGCCAAAGCAGTGCAAGAGAGAGAGAGCCCTGTGACTGAGCAAAAGGGAGCAGGATCAGCCCCCTTGAACAGCAAAGAACTGTTAAATCACTTAAGCCTGTCTTGTCTGACTGCACTCAATATAGAGTTTTGAATATAACACACTTTCTTCCCCCTCCCTCTAGCCCAAGCACTCCTCCTACAAGGCAAGCTGAATATCAACTTACGCATTTTTGTTTCAACACAACAGGAAGCCGACAAGATCTCGAATTGTGAGAAAATTCATCTATGAAATTCTTAAACAGAAATAATTTGGAAATTATTCAGGTGCTATCTCAAATGACAGTGTGATTAGTACAGACTAACCAGGAGAGGCTTCTCTACTAAAGATAACTAACACTTTCTAACTAACTGAACCTATTCCTGTCTAAGCTGATACATTATTTATTCCATTTGTTCGAAAGGAAAGCTGTTGGAAGTTCATAACTCTTTAAAAAGTGTTTGAAATAGGTGCTTCTACTTCACAGTGAATTCTGTAGTTAATTAGTCTCAACAGGCCATTGGCAATTCTTTTGAATGATGGAATCTTATTTTAATGAATACAGTGTTTATTATTGTACCTTAAACATGTTCTGTGTGGCTGTAGCAGTACACTGTACGATACATGTAAAACACTGTTAGCTTTGGTCTTGAGAGGAACAAGGTGGAGTTAATATAAAACAGCACAACATCCTTGAGCTTGTGTTTTGTAGTTTTCTCTATTTCTTTTGAAAACAGAGACTTAGCAGCAGCAGAATTAGTGGAACTAGTGTTTCTAGTGCTATATCTTTTTGTTCAGATTCCCCGCCAAGCATCATCATTCCCTCTACCCTCCCAAGATGTCCTGTGACACCCCTGCTTCAGACTGTGCTGTAGCCACTCTGTAGCTGTATATATCCATATTGTTTGCTGACTACTGCCAAGAAGGAAAATATGAACAGACTTCCACCTTGGTAGGGTCATCAGCGTGTCTCATTTTAATTTGGCAGATACCCTTATTACTATAACTTTCATTAAAATAATCCCTCTGAAACTTCTGTCAAGTTTTTTTGAAACTAGCCATTTGCGTTACAAATTCTTGGGAGGACAGTGCCATTGGTGTAAATAAAAACCTGAATGTGCTGCCAAAGTGGAAAGAATGATAGTTTTGTGACATATGCTATTTATCTTGGAAATAGTGTAGCTTTTAGATAGGTTCATGGTAAAGTTCATAACATAAACATCAATAAATTGTGTGACAACTTTGCTGTAAATGTGTAATGCTTACCCACTGAAGAAACCTACGTTAAGCTACTAAAAATTCTGTGAGTGAAAAAAATGGAGTGTGTGGGCATCTGTTTAAAAAAAAAAAAAGTCTGGCAGGTGTTACAAACTTGTCATTTGATTGGCAACCACATCTTCACTACTTTTGTATTCAGAAGTGGATTAAACTCTTTCTCTTTGTTGTGTACTACCAGCTACCCAAAAGGCAGGCAAGGCCGGTTCCATGTTGTGTTCCTTTTCGTCTATTGTGCCTTCTGGCCTCTGCTTCGAAAGCCTGTCTGCTCCTTTGCAGCTCTTCTGTGGAGCATCTGCCTCCTGTACTTTCACAGCTTTTTCCTCATGGTACACTGACCTTTGAATCCCCTGGGCATGACCTTTGCTGCCCCTTCTCCTCCTGCATCTGTGTGGGCTAAGGTCTGTGAAGTGGCCTGTCAATGGAGCAGAGAGGAGCTGAGTCTTCACCTGTTACTACAGTAATGTGTCTTGTGTTTGTGTTGTCAGTATCTTTCCAGGTCCAGAACCCCATGTGCCAGAGGCAGACTGGACTGTCTCTTGACAGAGCCCTGCTTTGTAATACACTTAACTTTTAGTTATGTAGCTTCCTGCACCCCATGACATGGTGCTATGTTCACCAGCTGCGTGCATCCTGCAGCTTACCATGGTCCTGGGCCCCTCTGGAGTGGAGCTGGGTCCAGGCCCTGGTCTGGTGTCGTACTTCTTCCTTTCTGTGACATGATGCTGCCTCTGCCATCATATAGCCAGACACAGGAGAGGGACACTGGCAAGAATGCAGGGCGTGATTACATGTACCCAAACGCAGATTTATTCCTATGGTTCAGCTACAAGAACCAGTGGAAACCTTCCTGTCCCCCAGGGAAAAGAAAAAATTACACCATCACTTCTGGAGTAGCTACCCATTAGGTCAGCTCCCTTGTAACAGGTCACCAAGCTGCATAAACCATACAGTGACTGCTTGTAGCTATTTCTTTCCACCCATCATGAGCATAAGCTTTCAGATCTTAGGATGCAGTAGTATTTAAAAGCAATACACATAATTAACAGTGTTATGAACATAAGAATATGGTCTGGTGTACGTAATATGATGATTGCTGGTGTGGCTGCCTTGGTAAATCCCCCCATCTCATAGGAGTCCTGGAGTTTTTATTAAATCCAAACCAATATGAATGAAATTAGCAAAATTATTTCTCCCCCTTTCCACCCCAGCCTAAATGGGTGTATGGTAATGTTTGGGTTTTAAGTATTTTTACTGTTTTTACTTAATTTTTTTTCCCTTTTAATTATTATTTTTTTTTTTAATCACACATGTGAGTGATTCTCCTGTGCTAACGTAAGTTTATAGGAAAACTCATTTTGTCTTTTCAGTGCAGTCTGGGTAAAGAAGGTGTTCTCATTTTGTATACATGTATATATGAATACATATGTATTTAAAAAAGAAAAACCTTGGAAATTACAACTGCTGATGCTTAAGTGTACATATACTTTTATAAATCACATCTTAGTCCTATTTAACACCTTAGGAATTAAGAAATATTTTTTACTTCTTTGTAAATTCTATGTGAAAGGTGGTCTTTTTAATAACAGTTCATGTTTAAAAGTCTCTGCTGCTCTGAGTGTGTGTCTGTTATTTCCAGTCTTTGCAAAGGAGTGAGCACTAATGTTTTTAGCATGCAAAACACTTGTTTTCATTACTTTTATTTTCAACTGAATGGGACTAAAGATAGGATTTTTCTTCACTTTTTTTTGTTTTGGCAGGGGCAGGAGTGTGAGGGTAGTCTATTTGATAAAGGCTACAGATACGCAATGGAACTTACTGTAACTTAGAGTACTTCCTTAGAGTCTGTAATTTGGAATAGTTATATCCTTAGCGAACATGGAAATTTCATAACCTGCAAATGCCTGAATAGTTAATGAATTGCTATCTCAACAATTTTAATGTATAGAAGAGAAAGAAGAGTGCATTTTTATTTTAAGATTAATCTTCAATTTTGCCAATCTAAGCAGAGGAATTTACTGAAAAATGTTTCCCTCCAGTATTATTTCATTCAACTATCAGATGAGTTACACTAAATACCTATATTCTCATGGAATGTTTGCTTTGCCTATTTCAGTGATCGCTGTGGAGAAGACCCAAACCAGAAAGTAATCCATGGGGTTATTAACTCCTTTGTTCATGTTGAACAGTATAAGAAAAAATTCCCCCTAAAGGTAGATACACACTTCTGATTTATGTTTTTAATTTTGAATGTTAATCTAGTATATGTATTATTTGTCCTTTAAAAAAATTTTCCTTTTAGTTTTATCAGGAAATTTTTGAGTGTCCTTTTCTGAATGAAACAGGGGAGTATTATAAACAAGAAGCTTCAAATTTATTGCAAGAGTCAAATTGCTCACAATACATGGAGAAGGTAAGGGATTCTTCAGTACACATGCAATAACTAAAATCTAATACTATCAATTTAATGATGATGCATGTTTTCCTGTACAGTTCCCATAGCTGTTCTTTATTGTATGCTTCATGCAGTGTAAACTATGCTTTTTCGTGGCACGGTTAATCTGAATATAAACAACAAATCTTGCCTATGGATGGACTGTCAGCTGATAAAACGTACATATGGTTGATCAGTATTGGTTCCTCACTTCCTTATTTTCCTGCTGTTTGTAGTAGCATAAGGTGAGAGTTTTGGTAGTATAATGGTTAGGGAAGACTATTATGGTAGAGTTGTTACAGGGCATTATTAAAAATTACACACTCAGAGTTTTGCTTTGTGGTTTATGAGGTCAGGTTGTGGTTAAATTACTTGTAATTCTTAGACCTTGCTTGAGAAAGCAAAGGATTAATAGAAGACTGGCAGTCAGTCCTTGGTACCATACTGTCCACACTAGCAAGAGAGAAGAGTCGAGGAGAAGGTTGTGAATTGCTTTTAACCATAAGGAGCATAAGCTAATAGTTGTACACCTGAGGTGAAATTCAGAGGCAGACTAAGACTTCAGTTAAACCAAATAAATGCAGATTTATTTTGTCTATCATTACCAGTCTGCATCTGCTCTACTCTCCCTAGGCTTCCCTCATATTCACTGGATATAAGTACTTTTATGTCAGTATTCGTATGAGTTATGATAATGCCTACACTTCCTTCATTGAAGTTATAAAGAGAGTTTTTATTAATGGCTCAGGTGTACACCTATACCTTTTGAGCAGATGTTTACATACAAGCAAATGCATTTGGAACAGAAAAGTGATTCTTACGGTCTTATAATCAGGTATTGTGATAAAACTTTCTCAGAAGGAATAAGTGTAGTAGGAGAAATTGGGGAAGACTAGTCACAAAGTTGAAGGGAAGAAGAAATTTTGAGAACTATCAAGTGAAACATCTAGTAGTGACTAAGCCTAATCAGTACTCAAGAGTGGAAGGTTATATTAAGTCAGTAATAGGCTGATTCAAAAGAGAAAATTTAATTTTTCAGCATGCTAGGCAAGTTATTCTTTCTTACCTATTTGTGTACTTCATTCTACATACATATAATGTTGTATATTCATGGTTCTATATTGGTTGTTAGTATTTCATCAGCTCTCAGTTTAAAAACTTGTCTGTAGGTTTTAGGTAGATTAAAAGATGAAGAAATGCGATGTCGGAAATACTTGCATCCCAGCTCATATGGCAAAGTAATTCATGAATGCCAACAGAGAATGGTAGCTGATCACTTGCAGTTTCTACATGCAGAATGTCACAATATTATCAGACAAGAAAAAAGAAGTGGTAAGTCTCAATGGTCACAAAAAGCATGAAATTTTTTGTTTTATTTATTTAGCATTGCAATTTACTATCTTTACTCAGTGACCTTCTATGCTCTTTGAAGCATTTTCAGCTAATACATGTTACTTACCTAGAAAGCCCAAATAAATCCTGAATGACATTTTTCTTCTACCATGTAATTCATTATCGTTCTTCCAAATATATAGTCAAAACGTTCTTTTTACTGTTAACAACCCTTTCAGCAAATACTCTTTCTCTTTCCTTGTCTTAGTCGGCTTAAAAACACACTGAAGTCCTGTGTCCTGTAGAACTGATCATACTTTATGCTTGTGTTTTCATTTGTAAACCAATGGCTCTGTCTTTACAGATTTCTTCATCATCATTTGACAGGTCAGGATTATAAAATATTTTGGCTTCTTTTCATAGCCACTTTTTATTGTCCTGAATCTTTTGTGACCTCTCTTCCCAAATCCTTTTTACAGAAGCAGATGCTCTTGTAGTTATATTCCCTGCCTGACTAAAAAAATTATGCTTCCTGATGACTACATACCTCCTACCCTTGAAAGAATGCTTATTCTTGCATGGAAGATGGTATCTCTTATGTGAAACAAATTGTTTTTCACAGTCACATTCAAACTGTATGTAATAATAGGGTTCAGTCTCCAGAGAGTTTTGCAAAATTGATCAGAGCTTGTATTTTTTTTTCTTCAAAACAAACAAACAAACAAATATCATAAAAATTACAGTTCCTTATTTACATCTTTTCTAACCTGAGAAAAATTTCAAACCATCACTGCAGGAAAATGAAAAGTCAAGAAGATACCTAAACTGATTTTAGTCAGCTACTGCTAAGAGAGATTTAGGGAAGCCAAGGATTAAAATACACTGGCACAATAGTTTTCCATAGTAGCCCACCTCTCCTCTTGGAGTCTTTCTTAAGTAACCAGTATTGGAAGAGTGAGGTAGTCACAGTGGCAGTACTCAATAAATACTGATATTAGTCCTACTTTTTCCTTTTTTTTTTCTTTTGTCAGTGATCCAGTGTATGTTAATTTTTATTTTTTTTTTCTAAAACAGTTGGTCTTGTTTCAGTCTTTGAAAAGTTTTGTGTGAAATTATGATACTAAATTAAGTATTTCTTTTTAGTGTTTCTAAGCATATTCTATAAAACTTTATCTCTGTTACAGACATGGCAAATATGTATACTCTACTTCGTGCTGTGTCAAGTGGTTTACCTCATATGATTCAGGAACTACAAAACCATATCCATGATGAGGGCCTTAGAGCAACCAGCAATCTTTCTCAGGAAAATGTGAGTTTCCTCAGGCAGCTGAAACTACCTATTTGATTAACATTCCTGATGAAATGTTTACCCTTTTCTTTTTAGTCTATTCTTTTTTTTTTTTAATTTTGTATATATGAAATTGGTTTGGAACATTATGGATAAATTGTAACTTCTAATCAGCACGCTTAGCTGTGCAACACATATCTATCCTGAGAGGTGATTGTTGTGATACAACCAGAAACAACTACAGCTAGATATTTCTCATTGTTGTTTGTTTAATGCTGTCATGGCAAGTAGGTCCTTTTGTTCCATGTATGTATATTTTTCCTGAATTTCTGTAAGTCAGTGGCATTTACTATTCTGGTATGTTAGGAACCAATGATTCAATTTAGTTTAATTATATGTTATTTGTGAAGACTTGACATCCTGTCCTGATTTCAGTGTGTTATTTTTCACTAATAGTTTTGTAGTCTCATATTTTCATGTAACTTCTGAAAATACCGTAACTTAATTATTTTACCGAGGTGTGTTAAACTCTTCTCAGTGTATATGTGTTTAAAGTACTCAATTCCATTTTTGTTCCTCTAGCATTGCTGTTCAGAAACAAACAAAAAAAATTCATTTGGCACTGTATTTGTACACGTGTACATCTTACTGTCTAGATCTGTGCTTACATTAGGATTGTGACTTTAGCCATCCAGTGTTTCTGTCTATAATAATACATAGGTACAAACTGTTGTAAATTCACTCTTTTATTGACTGCACAAGAGTGCTTACTCTTCTGCAGCTCCTGTGTGCGTACTGAAAATGGGCTGAACTCTTTAGTAGTATAGTTTGCTTTGAAATTATTTGTAAGTTTACTGAGCTTACTCTTTCAAACTAATAGTGTCTACCCAGGGAAATGAATACAGAGCTATGAGGGTGATGAAAATTCACAACCTTATGTAGATAAACTCAAAATATGAAATACTTGCTCCACTGTGTGGATTAAGTACTTTGTCATCGAAACATTTTCAGTGTGTGACCTGAGAATGCACTTGGGGAGCCATGTGATACACACTCTTGCATTGCTGCCTGCCAGCTTGTCTGTGTAGGGACTCTTCTAATTCATATTAGTTGTTTCGATAGAAAACATTATGCTGAAACGCGGCACATTAAATTTGGTTGGTAACTGTCCTATGTAGGAAAATTCAAAGTGTTCATCTGCATTTTCTGTCTCTGAAGTTAGTGTGTAGGAGAAGCAGCAGTTTACTTATTTCAGTAGCTTTTTGACTTGATTACTGTATTTACATGTTAGCATTAATGATTTTTGAAAGGGCTAATAAAGGATTTAAGAGTATGATGGGAAAGATTAGGCAGCATGAGAGCAGTACAGACTCAAATTTATGTTTGATAGCAGGACGGTAAATGTATCTGTAGACTTTTTATTTCCAAAACATGCCCAAGCACACTAGCATAAGAGTACAACAATGCAGAATTAATCCTCTCAAAGACTTAATCACTGATTTTAACTTTTAACAAAAAGAATAATTAGGAAAAATGTACAACTAATATAGATATATTTGTGTGTAGATAATATTACTTTTCTCATTAACTTGCTTTATGTTTTATCTACCTTTTTTAGATGCCAACTCAGTTTGTGGAATCAGTTTTGGAAGTACATAGTAAATTTGTTCAACTCATCAACACTGTTTTAAATGGTGATCAACATTTTATGAGTGCACTTGACAAGGTAACTTTTACTTAAGTTAAAAAAGCATTGGAAAACAAAATGCAAGACCCTGTTTCAGGATCACCAGAATTCTTCAGGGCACTGACACATGTTCGACTCAAGGATAGAGTTCTTAGGCAGTTTTTCTGGTTTAGAAATGAAATGGAACAAAAGGCAATCCAGTGTTAGGGGACAAGATATGTATAAAGGAAACCACTTTAATACTTAAATGTTTTCTGAAAGAAAGACCTCTATTTTCATCATAATTCAAAACACAAATATAGAGCTGATCCATTTAATGTAAATTTAAGTGCAGATAATAAAGAGACAAACTGTGGGTTTTGGGAAGTCTGGTAACTCTTACATACATTTGAACTTGAATTTACTTGCTGCCATAATGTTTAAACTCTGAATGCTGATAGTATTACTTTGTTTAGATTTTTCAAGTTGACTACAAAGAATATCTGGAAGGGATTGAGTAGCTTCTCCTTAAAAAAGAAGCACATTTTATCTAATCCATTTGTTATTTTCCCACTCTTT